ACGTGTAGAGACATTACAGATACCTGTAGGAATAACAGAGTAGTATTGGTTGGAAATTTTAATTTCCCCTGTATTGACTGGGCCACCCAGAGTGTAAAAGGCCCGGACAGGGTGGAATTTGTGAAGTGTGTCTAAGAAAGTTTCCTAATGTAGAGGGCCCTACTTGGGAAATGAGGTCAGGCAAGTGACTGAAGTGTCAGTCAGAGAGCACTTTGAGTCCAGTGACCACAACTCTCTTAGTTTTAACATAGTTATGGAAAAAGATAGGACAGGTCCACAGGCTAAGGTGCTAAACTGGAGCAGGGTCAATTTTGGGGCCATTAGGCAGGATCTAGCAGAGGTTGATTGAGTGAGTCTGTTTGAAGGAAAAGGAATGATTGGCAAATGGGAGGATTTTAAAAGTGTGATATCAAGAGTCCAGGGACAGTATGTCTCTGTTAGGGTGAAGGGAAAAGCTAGCAGGGATCCCTGGATTAAGAGGGATATTGAGGCTCTGGTCAGGAAAAAGAAGGCATGCTTTGGTTTAAGCTATTGGGCTCAAGTGAATCACTAGATGACTATAAAAAGTGTAGGAGCACACTTAAGAGGGAAATCAGAAGAGCAAAAAGAGGGTATGAGATGGATCTGGTAGATAAGGTTAAAGATAATCCCAAAAAGTTCTACTGTGTTTACTGAGGAGAAAATCATGGATGCTAAGGAAATAAGGGAAACAAGTGGGCATGTTTTAGATCGCATACATATTACCAGAGAGGAGATGTTTGCAGCCTTAAAGTGCATTAAAGTGGATAAATCCCTAGAGCCTGATCAAGTCTATCTTTGGACATTGTGGGAGGCTAGGGAAGAAATTGCAGAGGCCCTTGAAGAGATTTTCCCTTCATCTTTAGCCACTGGTGAAGTTCTGGAAGATTGGAGGGTGACTAATGTTGTTCCATTGTTTAAGAACGGTAGGAAAGACAAGGCAGGGAACTACAGACCAGTCAGGCTGACATCAGTTGTCTGCAGGTTATTGAAGAGAACCCCAGAGGGGTCGGTGCTGTTATTTTTGTTATTATTGTTTGTTATTTGCTACTTACATAAATGATCTTGATGTGAATGTATAAGACTTGATTAGTAAGTTTACAGATGACACAAAATTAGGAGGCATTGTTTACAGCAAGGAAGGTTCTCAATAATTACAGAGGGATCTTGATCAGATGGGGAAGTGGGCTGAGAATTGGCAAATGCAGTTCAATACAGATATGTGTGAAGTGTTGCACTTTGGAAAGTCAAACCAAGGTAGGACTTGTACAGTAAATGGTAAGATCCTGAGGAGTGTTGTGGAACAAAGGGACCTAGGTGGCATCACCGGTAGACAGGGTGGTGAAAAAGGCATTTAGCATGACATTATGTTGCAGTTGTATATGTCATTGGTGAGACCGCACTTGGAGTATCGTGTACAGTTTTAGACACTCTGTTATAGCAAAGACATAGTTAAACTGGAAAGTGTGCAAAGAAGATTTACGAGAATGTTGCCAGGACTAGTAAGCCTGAGTTACTGGGATATGTTGGCCAGCATAGGACTTTATTCCTTGAAACATAGGAGAATGAGGCGTGTCCTTACTGAGGTGTATAAAATCATGAGGGGCATAGATAGGATGAATGCATATAGTCTTTTTACCAGGAATGGGAAATTGAAAACTAGAGGGCATAGGTTTAAGGTGAGAGGGGAAAGATTTAAGAAGGACCTGAGGGGCAACTTCTTCACGCAGAGAGTGGTGCATTTATGGAATGTGCTGCTGGATAAAGTGGTTGAGGCAGGTACAATAGCAATATTTAAAAAACATTCGGATAGGTACATGGATGGGAAGGGTTCAGAGAGATACAGACCAAATGCAGGCAATTGGAACTAACTGAGTGAGCACCATGGTCAGCAGGGACCAGTTTGGGCTGAAGGGCCTGTTTCCATGCTGTATTACTCTATGACTCTACTCTATGTCACCTCCTGGGAGTAAATTCATTTTTGATAACCGGTCCTTTTGCTGCCATAGCAGGTGTCAAGTTTGGTGTTGAGAATACTGGGATGTAAAGTGAGCGTTTACCACCCTGTTTGTTTTTAACAGGGGAATGTACAATGGGTCAGGTAGCTAGCTCACCCTGGGGCTGACACCACCTCCCCCATTCTATGCCAGGTGGGTGGGTGCTGAAATCAGCTGCTTTCAATGGCGGTAGATTTTGCCAGGATAATATTATAAATATTTGTTTTGATTACACACTGTGTGATGTGAAGAGGAAGCTGGAAATAAAACAATGCAGTGTGACCCCATTTTAATGCCTCAGTCTATATGTCACTCGAGAGTGGAAACTTGGACAGGTAAGAGAATTGGTGAGTGATGGGAGATGAGCAGTTTCAGATATTGAGCAGGAGAGAGGCAGGAGGACAAAATAAAATGAGCAGCTACCTATTCACAGGCTCTTGGTGCAGCACCAATCATACCTCAGAGAGTAGTACATTAGGCTACGTCCACTAACAAAGATGTGGAGATGCCGGTGTTGGACTGGGGTGGACACAGTCAGAAGTCACACAACATCAGGTTATAGTCCAACAGGTTTGTTTAAAATCACAAGCTTTTGGAGCACTGCTCCTTCATCAGGTGAAGACTCCTGACTTTGTCTACCAACAAAAGCAATTTAAAGTTGTTTTTAAAAAGTATTTAAAAGAGCCTCACAACACGTCAGAAATCAGGCTGATCACCATTGCATACATTGCTGCTTCAGAGCTCATGATCCCAAAATCATATCTCGCGACTCTTGGGAAACCCTGTCATAAGATCTCTTGGCACAGAAGGAGGCCATTCAGCCTGTGTACCTTTGCTTGCTCTTTGAAACAGAAAGTCACATAATCCCATGCTCCCAATCTTTCTCCATATAACCCTGCAAATTAATCCTCTTCAAGTATGTGTCTGATGGCCCTATTCGAGTATCATGTTACAGATCTTAACAACCCTCAAAATGAAGGAACTTCTGTTCACCTTGAATTCTTTTGTCAGTTATTTAAAACTATGACCTCTAGTTCCAGACCAGCTTTGCTGAGAGAAACAGACTATCCCCATTCATTCTATATCAAACCCCTTGGGCCTGACACCAACGTTAAGCCAACACCTGGAATTTTCATTTCTTCCCTGACTAACAGGTTTCCACTGAGATCATTAAACAAGAATCTATGGTATGTGTTTCTTTAATATTTTTTATCTGGTTCTTACGCAATGAGCTTTCAAATTGGAGGCATCTGCTCAATGTACCTCAATAGGTTTTGCAATGATTCTCTGCACGTGCATTCCTATCAAGTGAGGCGTTTGGTTTTAACTGCGAGGGGTGAAAGAAAGCCCACTGATGATTGATGTCACAGTCGAGTACAAACATACGTGACGTATTCAAGCACACATTTGCTGCTGTTTGCTGTAGCCAATACAACCCAAAGAAGTGCTGGCTGGGCAGTAGAACTGTTTCATTGGGCATGCTGTGATCTGTTTGCCTGCAATCTCTCAAACTCATGAAATGTAACCCAGATCCATACTGCGGCTCTCCAAGTTAATAGCAACAAAGTACTGGTGATGAGATCCTTTCCCCCTCCCAGTAAAACTAAGAGTGCTGGAGAAATCTGTTTACCTGCCAACTTTCCTAATTAAGAACAGTGACATAAAATTGCTTCATCAGCTGTAAGGTATTTGGACTATTCTAAACACAGTGACGTAGGGGGGAGGGGTGGAGTGGAGAGGAGGCCATTTAGCCTTTCCAAACTGTTAAATCATTCAGTGAGGTCAAAGGTGATCTATGCCTTAACTCCAGACAACTGTCCTGGGCTTCACAAAAGTCTCTCACTCTCAGATTTAAAGTGAAAATTGATCAAGCATCAACTCCTGTTTGAGGAAGATAATTCCAACCCTCTCACGGATATTTTGTGTGAAGAAATATTTCCTCTGGTTAAATTTCATGGGTGGAGTGGGGGGAAGGGAGAGAATAAGGTTGAAGTAGGGGGTAGCATGTTGCTTGTTCCACTGTTGCAAGACTTGGCCAACAGCTGACAGACCTAAGAAGTGCCCACCTAGGAGTAATAATGCACAGTAGGCAGGCTAAATGGGCAGAGATTGGCATTTACTGCTCGTGACAGCCACAGCTCTAGAAGTTGCAGAAGAGAAGTGGGTGTTGTTGGGACCGTATCCAAGATAACACACACAGAGTTTTGTTGGATCCCAGAGCAGGATTAGTCATAGGCTGTTAGGGTAGGGCAGGATCAGGCAGCCTAAGGAGGCAGGGTGATGGCAGCTGGGAGGGCGAAGGGCATGGAGGCCAGTCAATGAGGAACAAAGAGGTGCCCCAGAGAAACCTTCCAAATGCTGTAAGCTCTTACATCCCGCCTCTCCCAAAACATTTTTCAAAAGCAGGCTCCCTCCCAACCGCCCATGTCAACCATGTTATGGCATGAGAAGCATGGGATTGGAGTCAATGGTTTGACTCAAGCTCAATTGCCCATTCATTTATTTTTAGAAACTGGTAGGCAGGCTGCCAGTTTCAGTCACTGCATCTCCATTGTGTTATGGGAATGAATGGGAAGGCAATGGGTTTGTTATCCCTCGTATTTTCTGTGCCACCACCTGCCAAAAACATGCCTGGCACATTTAGGACACATAATCTAGCCCCTAACTTCATTCCTGAAAGGTTTGGCTCTAGTGTTTAGACTGTGTCCCTTCATCCTAGACTCCCCCAATTGAAGTGGGAGCAGATTGTTCGTGCAAACATGTTTCTTTTTTCTACAGAATCAGAAATGTCTTATCTTTTTATTAAGGTACCTCTAGCTGAAAATCTTTAATCAACTTCCAACTGAGCCACAACAATGATCCTCCACAGTTAAACCCCTCAGCCTTTTTCAAAAAAAAATTCTAAAGCTATATATGATGACAAAGCATTAGATGTCAGCTAAATTCAAATGAAAATTTAATGTCCAAATTTAAAAGGATGGTTACCTGCTCCCTTGCAAGCTTTTCTTATCTTCCTGGCATCTCCCTCTTCACTGAAATGCACCTGATATCGAATACCTGGCTGCATAATTAAATATGAATTATTAATAATTGAACACAGTTTTTACTTAGACACAAGGCATGATATAATTATGGCTCAAAGGAAGATAACCTTCAATCATCCCACTATTTTCTAATTTTCACCAATTTTCTATCATTCCTATGTGCACTAACCTACATTGGCTCCCAATTTGGCAATGCTTTGATTTTAAAATTTTAGTGTGTGTTTTTTCAGTCTTTGTGGCCTCCTCTCTCCACAACACTGTAATCTTCTCCTGCCCCATAATCCTTCTAGATATTCATCATTTGCCACTGCTCCCAATTCAATTCCCTCAAATTTTTCAACATGGTAACTCTGTCAGATTATTCCTCATTCATACTAGAATGGTACAGACAGGTCAAATGGAAATTAATGAAAGTTAACAAATAAGGACAGAATGACATTAACTACTTGATTATTGTACATAAAATTTGCTGCATAGAACTCGGCCATTTTGCCCAAGCAATCATGCTCTACTTAGAATCATAGAATCCTGACAGTGCCCTTCGGCCCAACGAGTCCATCCCACCCAGACTCATCCCCCAATAACCCACTTAATACACACATCCCTGAACACTATGGGCAATTTAGCATGGCCAATCCACCTAGCCCTGCACATCTTTGGACTGTGGGAGGAAACTGGAGTACCTGGAGGAAACCCACGCAGACACAGGGAGGATGTGCAAACTCCACACAGACAGTCACCTGAGGGTGGAATCAAACCTGGGTCCCTGGTGCTGTGAGGCAGCAGTGCTAACCACTGAGCCATACTTGCGCCACCTCTCTTCCCTACTATACTTCACCCCATCAGTATATCCTTGTATTAATTTCTCCCTCAAATGTAATTTCCCCATAAATACATCTATGTTACTTGACTCAAGTAGGCCTTGAGTTGGAAATTCCATGTTCTCACAGCTCTTTGGGAATAGGTGTTTTTCTTAAATTCTTTGTTGGATTTATTGGTAACAGTCTTATACTTGTGGCCCCTAGTTTTGCACTCCTCACAAGAGGGAAACATCAGGCTCGAAATTTGTGTCCGTGTTTTTGCAGGGGTCACCACTTGTACCAGGTATGTGCCTATTTGGTTTGAGTTGGCTGCATACAGGTTTGGTGCATCCATCTCATCTGATTGATTATTGCAGGGCTGAGCATGTCTCGCACTGTTGTTTTTCTCTTAATGCTGTTGGCTGCCTTTGCATTCAGCTGAGCCCAAATGGTTCACATTCCCATGATGCAGAATCCTGCTCTACTTAAGACAAGTACCAGGTACTGATGCTGACTGACTGATGAGAGTGTGGTGCTTTCAGCACAGTAACAGCTACATCATAGGTTGAATTTGCTACATGATGATGTATTTTCTGACCTTGACCATCCATGTGAAATAATTGGATTGCTTGTAGCACTGCTACCAGCTCCCTTCTAAGGGTCATCCTTGAGCACTTTCTGGAGCCCAGTGGAAACTGTGTGTTAATCCTCTTGCCCACTTCTATCTCTGCCTTGCCTCGTCTTTTAGCACAGACTGATCGCCAAGCAGCTTGTCATGTTTCGCAGCAAAGGACAGACAAGGGGGGAAAATGGGCTGGTCCGTATTTGGACAGAAAAGGTGGTGAGATGCCCCATGTGAGTAAGTACGAAGCGCAGAAGGGCAGGAAGGCTTAGTAATTTGGGGGAATGGGGATGATGGAAGATGCTGCATGCAGTACAGGAAATGGTAGGCCATAAATCATGATAGGAAGTGGGTGCAATGGCAGAGCTACAGTGAGTGTGAGGTCACAGAGAGAAGATGGTGACACTTTCCTTTACAGATCATAGAAGATCATTAACCTGCCCATTCACCCAGAGTGTGGACACTGCACTGGTCTGTTTGGCTATTCAAATCATTGTTTGCCACAGTGCACAGTTGTCGCTTCTGAATACAATTTAGTGCAAGAGCAGCACTGTGGAGGCATGGTACATACTTAATGAAGTGAGTTGTGAAAACTGGGTGAGAAAAATCTCGAGGACTCTTGGAAAGAAACCATCCATAAAATCCCTGAAGCTGACAGTCAAATTCTGGGAAAAATTCAGCTCATGGTTTCTGAACAAACCTACTGGACTCCCTGCTGAATGTAGAAGCAGCCAGTAGTCTCAAAAAGGGGACAACAAAATGAGACTCTCTCAACGAGGCTCTACAGCCATTCAGATGAGGTAGGTGCCCCAGATTTGTATGGATCTGAATGGGTATTGACAGGTCATGAAGTATGACCCCAGCACCCAGAAAAATTGGGCACATAAATTTCCATTCTCTATTTACCTGCCATTGACCCACATCACTTAATATATGTAAGTTCTAATGAAATCCCTGTAAATTTTTTGCACTTCTCCAGGGCCTCCAGATCCATATCCTTTACGAATTATGGAGTCCAGAAATGTACATAGTCCAGAAAAAATTACAAATAATTGGACATCCTCTTTGAACTCAACTGTACTGATAATGACAAAATTTCCAAACCATAATCTAAAAGATGAAAATGAGTACAACCTTTAGTTGCTTAATAGCATAGTCAACTCCTTATCTTTACTGTTTCATAACATTTGATTGACAAATATTTCCAACGGGCCTTTTCTGCAATTAGGTTGTAAAATTGTTTTATGTTCTTGTACCATTCAATGTCACACATGCTGAAAAAAGCACACTGACCTGGCTGACTATATTGGCTGCTAATATTATGCAGTACCAATATTTTCTACCACATGGACTCATGGAGTTTAGAATGGGACTATATTTGAATGATTTCTGCTGTTATTGGCTTTATGGTAGCTTTTTGGCATCGTACTTGCACAAAGGACAATGGTTGTGGTTGTTGGAGGTCAGTCATCTCAGTCCCTGGGATATCTCTGCAGGAGTTCCTCAGGGTAGTGTCCTAGGCTAAGACATCTTTAGTTGCTTCACCAATGACCTTCCCTCCATCATTTGGTGAGAAGTGGAGATGTTCACTAATAATTGTACAATGTTCTGCACTGTTCACAACTCCTCACACACTGAAGCAATCCATGTCCAAATGCAGCAAGAACTGGTCATTCAAGCTTGGGATGGTAAGTGGCAAGTAACATTTATGCCACACAAGTGTCAGGCCATGACCCTCTCCAACAAGAAAGAATCTAACTTTGCCTTTTGACATTCAAAGACATTATGATCATTGAATTCCTCACTGATAATATTCCCATGAAGCTCTTTGGGAGTTTTACTGAGAATATGGTACCATTTAAGTACAAGTTATTGCTGTTGAAGACAAAGAAAGTAAGTAAAAAAAATGCATTGGTGCCCCCATCCCCACCCTACCCTCACACTCATGATGGTCAGAAATACTTGGAGATCTTTCACATCAACTAGATGACTTTGATGTCTACAGTGTGTAACATAATTGCAGGCTGATTTCTTCCATAAATTTCAGGTTGAAGATTAACCCTGACCAGCCTCCACCTGTCATTCCCCTGGTCCAAGCAAATAAGAACATAAGAAATAGGAACAGGAGAGGATCATTTGACCATAGAAGTCTGTTCTGCCATTCAATTATATCATGACTGATTTTGATCTTGGCTTCATCTTTACTTTCCTGCCTGTCCCCATAAACCCTTGATTCCCCTAATAGTTCAAAAATTTGCCTAACTCAGTCTTGAATATATTCAACGGCTCATCCTACACTGTGCTTTGGGTTAGAGAATTCCAAAGAGTCACAATCCAGCAAGAGAAGAAATTCCTCCTCATCTCCATCCTGAATGGGTGATCCTCTTATTTTGAAACCAGGCCCCTTATTCTAGATTTCCCCAGTGAGGATAAATATCATATTAGAATCTACCCCTTAAACGTGGGTAGTACCCCAGACAGTGGGTACTGCTGAAGGAAAATCTGTCATGGCAATCAGTGCAGTGCTGGTCCACGACATGTTCTCTCTGTGCCTATTGGTTTTGTGGTTAGGAGATCAAACTGCATTGACCTGGGGGGATGAGGCAAATTGGGAAGAAGTAGAAATATTTGACAGTCTTAAGGAAAAAAAAAGAAAATTAGAATATTTAAACAGAATGAGATTTGTGAATATAGGATAACCAAGCACTGATGGGAGTCACCTTAGAGATCAACTTAAATTTTTAATTTGCAGTGGTTACTTTTGTCTATCAGTGTCTGTGACTCCAGGTTGAGAATTACAATTGGGGAATAATACAATTCATCCCGTTAAGGTTTATACAAATATTAAGTGCCAACATGATTGGAATTTTTATCACGTTCTGAATTTTGTTGGTAATTTTAACATTTTGGCTCCTATAAGTCTATGTAATTTTCTGATGAAATGCTGCATCATTTCATAAAAATATAACATTGATGGAAGCCTTGTCAACAAAAACTTACATTGCAATAAAACTGGATTCCCTTATTGATTAAAAGTCTGTCTTTCTCACTTTTGAATATATTTGACAATACCGCTGTCAAGACTGCGTCATTATGTGTATTCACGGGTGAGACAGACAGGTTTTTAATCAGTAAGGGAATTCAAGGTTACTGGGAAAAAGCAGGAAAGTGAGAACTGTCAGATCAGCATGGATCTCAATGAATGATGGAACAGATTCAATGGGCAAAATGGCCTACTTCTGCTCCAACCTCTTATGGTCTTACATACCATGTCCTGTCTCTTACGAGGATGGATTGGAGGATCTAGGGCTGTTCTCCTTAGAGGAGGGAAAGTTGAGAGGATATTTTATTGAAGTGTTCAAAGTCATTTGAAGTCTAAATAGATTAGATAGGGAAAAAAAATGCTCCCTCTGTTGGAAGGGTACCTTTTTAAGCTGAGTAGCAAAAGAATCAAAGCAACCACACAGAGAGTGGTTAGCATGTGGAACACACTGCCTGAGGAGGCAAAGTCAATTATAATTTTCAAAAGGAAATTGGATACTTATCTGAATGGAAAACACTTGCAGGGCTTTTTTGGAAAGGTTGGAGGTGTGGGAATGAATGAGTTGCATTTTCTAAGAATTGGTCTTTTCCTATGTTGGAACCATTCTTGATTCTAGAAATCAGAGGCTCTGTCCTATGTCCAATTTTTGATTTTCCACTGTAGTCCAGACTTGATACGTCCAATTGTCAAGGCTGCATTATTATATATATTCAGCGCTGAGATAGACAGGATTTTAATCAGTAAGGGAATCAAAGGTTAAAGGGGAAAAGCAGAAAAGTGGTGGTGAAGATTATCAGATCAGCCATAATCTCAATGAAAGGTGAAACAGACTCGATGGACCGAATAACCTACTTCTTGTCCTGCATCTTATGGACTTAATGTAATCAATGAGGCTTCACAGGAGCTTCACCAAAATTAGGTTTACTCTGAACTGCATAAGGAAAGATTGGGACAATTTGGGTAAACAGAGCTTTCAAAGACCATCTTCAACTGGAAGATAAAGTGTTTTGAGAGGTTTAGGGAGGGATTCCAGAAGTTAGAGCCCAGGCAGCTGAAGATACTGTGGCCAGTGTAAACCAATTAAAATCAGGGTGTTGATGGAACACAGATACATCAGACAGCGTTGGTGCTGGTGGATTTTACAGAGACAGAAAAGGGTAAGAATTTGGAGGATTTGGATAAAAGGCTAAAAAACTAATCTCAGTAAAAGTGGTACTATACTCTATGTATCTTCATAATGACATGCTCGTCCTTCAGCTCCAATAACACTCAAAAAAGTTAGGCAGATTTTTGAGTGACCAGGACTAGAAACATCCACTTCCTTCACCACCGATGTGCAATGGTAACAGTGTGTACTATATACAAGATGTACTACAGCAACTCATTAAGGCTCCTTAAGCAGCATCTTCTGAACCCATGATTATTTCTACCTTGAAGGATAAAGGCAGCAGTTACATGAGGACACCACCACTTGCAATTTCCCTCAGGCATGCCATCCTGACTTGGAACCATTCCTTCACTGTTAATAGATCAAAATCCTAAAAAACCCTTGCTAACAGCATTGTGATATACTGATACTACATTAACTGCAGCGGTTCTAGAACGCAGCTCAGCGCCATCTTCTTTAGAGCAGTTAGAGATGGATGATAAATGCTGGCCCAGCCAGGAACACCTACACCCCAGCAATTAATTAATAGAAAGAAATGTTTCAAACAAGTGGTTTATTTAAATTATACGCATAAAAGAACAAGTGGATATCTGGCCGGCATGGATGAGTTGGACCAAAGGGTCTGTTTCCGTGCTGTATATCTCTGACTTTATGAGCCTGTGATGGGACTAACAAATTAAAATATTTAAGTCAATATTTTTTCATCAATTAAGATATGAAATGTTAAAAACTAAGTTTCTTAAGTTCCCTGGAACTGCCTTCATCCAAACAATCAACTGAATTAATTTAACAGTCACTAGGTTCAGATATTGCAGACAATTTGCATTTTGCACAGAACCGAAAGGCTTTACTTACATGAGTGTTGCCCATTTGTTCACAGCTGTGTATCCTATTCTGAGAGTCTGACACAGTAACATATTTGTGGTGCAATATTTATATGAGGAGCAATAAAATCTATCCGTGTGTTGATTGGTTATGGATTCACTGTCAGAAGGGTAGGATTCAGAGATAAAAAAGTTTAATAAGTAATACTTGATACATTGCCCTGACTGCCATGCACTGGCACCTGGAGACAGAGCTCAAATTGTTGAGTTTTGCTTTCAAAAGTAAATGAATCATTGTTTGAATCAGAGGAATGGTGATAAAGTCATTATCTTGGATATTATTACTAACAGGGCAAAATAGTGGAGTGCATCAGTACTAATTCATCCACCACATCTATACTCACAGACTGACATTGAATTCCATTCTGGAAATATCTCAATTTTAAAATTCTCATCTCCGTTTTCTGAATTATTCCATGGCCTTGACTGTCCCTATCTCTGCAAACCCTCTCAGCCTTACGAATTTCCAACATCTGCATGGTCCTCCATTTCTGGCCTCTTGCATATCTCCAATTTCCATTGCTCCATCAGTAGATGTACGTTCAGATTTTCAGACCTAAGCCATGGAACTTGCTCTAAAACTTTCTCCCTCTCTTTCACCAACATGCTGTTTAAAACCTACCTCCTTGACAGAGCTTTTGGCCATGAGTCTGAAAAACTCTTTCTGTGCCAAAGTATGCTTGTTAATGCTCCTGGAACACTTTACCACATTACGGATATTATGTATAAATACTTATTATTATTACTCATTATTATTGGCATTGGTGTGTTGCTGGGCTAGTAATTCAGAGATTTGCATGAAAAGTCCAGGAAATATGATTGCAAATTTCACCAGTCCAGTTTGAGAATTGAATTCAGTTTTTAAAAATCCATGAAGCTAAAACACAACTGGACACTAATGAGACAGAAACTTACTGTTCTTACTACCTTTGATCTATATGTGGCTCCAATTCCATTTCAGCGTGGTTGACCACTCTGAAGAGGTCCATCAAACGACAATGGTCCACTATTGCTTTCCAAAGTGCTCTGAGGGATCAGTCAGCTTTACCAGCAATGCTCACCTCTCAAAATAAGAGAAAAATATGATCAGCTCAGCTATTACATCTATTCTTTTAGTAAAGAATGAAAACTGAGGTCAGAATGAAGTGGTTTCAGAGATAGTAGGAACTGCAGATGCTGGAGAATCTGAGATAACAAGGTGTAGAGCTGGATGAACACAGCAGGCCAAGCAGCATCAGACGAGCAGGAA